GGATAAACAAACTGGGGTACATATACATAATAGAATATTATGCTACCTTGAAGAACAACAAGGAAGCTGTAAGTTACCACATAACATGGATGAACCTTGAGGACATTATGTTGAGTCAAATTAGTCAGTCACAAAAGGAGAAATACTGCATAGGACCACTACTGTAAAAGACTAAGAAAAAGAACCCATACTAAAGGGGGGGTGGGGTAGATACTTTGCTGCTAAGGTGAGAGGAGGGAAGGGAAGTTGGAGCACAGGGTAGTGAATAGACAAAGGATAGTTTGGGTGTTGGGGACAGGGGCAATACACAAGAATGGGAAGGGGAATGGAAGAACAAGGCGGATGGGAGAACTATTAGGCAGGTTTGCATGGGCTAAGTGGAACAGAGGTAAATAATGATGTATGCACAACCTTGGAACTACATGGCTCTGGGATACAGGGAATGAGGCATGGCTGGAATGGGCAAAAAGGGGGAAATAATGTTAAGATGATTGGCTGTCTTTTGAATCTTGGCTTCCTTTGCATTGCTGTTGTTGTTAAGTACCATGGAGTCGCTTCTGACTCATAGCGACCCTGCACAGGGTTTCCGAGGCTGCAAATCTTTAAGGAAGCAAAAGCCTCATCTTTCTCCCATGGAACAGCTGGTAGTTTCAAACTGCCAACCTTGAGGTTAGCAGCCCGATTCGTAACCACTATGCTACCAGAGCTCCTTTTCCCTTGCATACCATTATAAAATAGACACTTGAGAGGGAGAGAAAGGAATAGCCAAAAATATCACCATAGAAAGCTTGTAATTCCATCTTCTGCCTATAACTGATATGAATACCTAAAATGGGGCTACAACTTGCCCAGTGAAGGAGGCTTCCTGCAGAGCCTCTGCATTGCATAGACCATAGGTGGAATCCTGAACCCCATCCAGAATCTTCTGAGGTGGAAAATCTCCACGTGAAAAGACAAGCAGACCAGCTGAAGCAGCTAGAAGAAAAGAAGATACTTCTTGAAAGAAAGACCAACAGGAAAAATACAAAACAATAATGGCAGTCCGAATGATTGCTACAAGAACAAGAAGTTGCTTGCCCAGGAGACATCAAGGCAAGTGGTTGGGTCCCCTCAGGGCAAACCCCCTTCCAAGACTAAGACTCAATGGGAAAACACAGCAGACTAGTGCTCTGACTGGTGATCACGTTGGTCTCCAATAAGGAGAAGTGAGGGAAAAACAACAATGAAGCTGCAAGCTAAGCCCTACCACATTCAATAGACTCTTGTGAACCTGGTTGGCAAGACTTGGGGACTCCTGGGCTCAGTCACAAAGCCACAGAGGACTAGAATAGAGAGTGAAGAGTCTAGCTGATAAGAAGAGAGGGCATATGCACAAAAACACCCACACTGGCAAATAATACCCACTTGATATGGCTTCAATGGCTGGATGATCAGAGCTCAACCAGAAGAAGAAAGAAGAGGAAAAAAAGAGTAATTTGCTACAATTTGATGGACTTGACCTACACCTATGGATGCAGTAGCTCAAAAGAAGGAACCAATCTTTACAGCGAGGATCATTTCCACCCCCTCAATACACAGGGTAGACAGGGATGGGCATCTTGGACATTGGCTACTCAAAATGGGGGGGCTACGAAGGCAAGAAGAAGTGACTGGCTTACAAGCTTTCAAGATGGAGCCTAGATCAGGAGGGCAGAGAGGAAGGTAGAATCTTCACTGAGTAGGATACAATCTGTCTGGGTGGGGCTGATGAAAGGAGATGGGGATAGCACTCACGTGGCACAATAGTGAATAATTGCTATCAGGACTGACTATGAGGATTGGAAATATAAAGGTAGATGTTTTGTAGCAAAAGGAGGGAAGTAGTTGACTTTGCAGTCCAGGAGTGGAGGTCCCTGTGGGACCATCAAGGGAGAATAGCAAACTGCGGGACCCTACCCAGAGAAAAGGTGACGCCAGAGATGGAGGCAGAGACAATGACGTGGCGAGATGGAGCAGCTGGGGAATCTAGACCCAGAGAGGAAGAGGGGCTGTGTGCTGACCGGAGGGGTAGGGGCTGGGGGGGGGGGCGGCTTGCAGGATTGATTGATTGATGATACATGAAGGGGATTGTAACCATGGCAATGAAACCATATATGATAGGATGAATGTAAAGCTAATGTTCTCACATAATTCATAATAAAGCATATTAAGAAAAGCTTTCGTTCAACAGTGATTATTTCTTGAGGGCCCATTACAGGCCAGGCACTGTTCTGAGTACTGGTATTATCCTGGTGAACAAAACTATTGATGTTCTTCCTCTCAGGAAGTTATAACATTTGATTATGACTAACTCAAAACAAAATAAATCCCAGTCAGAAAACTAGGCATTGTCTTCACCCAATTTACAATAAAAAAAAGATTTAGAAAGAAAGAAAACCTGATTTTTATAAAGAAGAAACCTAAACTGTGCAAAAGATGAGTCATAACCGTGGTCAGGTAAGAGGCATAGTTTGATTCCAAGTCAAGCGTATAGATGTCTGGTCCTTCCCACCAAGAAAAACAACTGGACAATTATAAATTAGACCTCAATCTCATGTAAAAATGTTCCCTCAGTTCAGCGGATACTCTCTCAAATATCTATTTCAAAACAACAATGATTCAGACCATTTTTAACTTGCATAGAAATTGATTGACCTGTAGGATAAGCATTGGACTGCTAACCACACAGTTGGCAGTTCAAACCCACCAGCTGTTCCTTGTTGTTGTTAACTGTCATCGAGTCTGTTCCAACACATAGAGACCCTGTACAGGGTTTCCAAGGAGCAGCTGGTGAGATTGAACCATCGACCTTTCAGTTCAAACAACTTTGCAGCCGCTCCTTGGAAACCCTATATAGGGTCACTATGAGTCGCAACTGACTCGAAGACTTTAACGAGTCAGTACAGAGTGATAGCACTTAACAACCACCATAAGGGTCCAGGCTAGAGTCATGGTGTGGAGCTGCAGGATCAGCATAGGAGGCTAACTTCAAAGTCGGGGTTCAAACCCACCAGCCCTTCCTCGGAAGGGTCACTTCAGAACCAACTTGACAGCACTTAACAAGGGCCCAGGCTAAGGGGGCTTAATGGTTAAGGGCTCAGCAGAACCGAAAGGATGACGGTATGAACCCATCCCATAGCTCCCAGAAGATCTGGCAGCCTACTTCTGTAAAGACTGTTGTAGGGTTTGTATCCTGGTGTGGCGTTGTAGGATAAGCACAGGACTGCTAACTGCAAGGTCGACGGTTCAAACCCACCAACAGCTCCTCATAAACCCTACACAGGATCGCTAGGAGTAGAACTGGCACTTAATAACAGGGACTCTGTCCCAAGGGGTCACTATGAGGCATAATGAACTCAACCGGATCCAGCAACAAGTCCAGGGTTGTTGTCAGGTGCCATCGAGTCGGAACCGACTCATAGCGACCCTATGCACAGCAGAACGAAACAATGTTC